ATATATATACACACACATACACACACACACACACACACACATATAGCAAGACCCTATCTAAAAGAAAAATAATAATCTTCACTTCTAGAAATTACAAAAAAAATTATGTCTCCAAGAAACAAGAATTTTAAAGACAATGTATTTGACAATGAAATTGTCTAGCACTGACTGACAGTGACATACACAAACCAAATACAACAAGAAAGACAGACATAGCTGGCATGGTGGTACACACACCTGTAATCCCAGCATTCAGGAAGCTGAGGCTATATAGTGAGTTCAAGCCCAGCTTGAGCTAAATGCAAAACCCTATCTCAAAACCATCCCCCGAAAAAAGAAAAAAAAAAAGACATGAAGCAAATAATACTCATGAAGCAAAGGATGAAGTAGAAGCCTCAGGTATGGCCTACCACAGCATTCAGCTCCAGTCATGCCAGCTCCTCACCAAAGACAGCAATGTCTACCCTTTCAACCATACCCCCTGCATGAGACATCCTATTCCTGATGCCCATCCTCTCATTCATTCAACAAACATCTACTGAACATTTTGCATTACGAGGACTGCACATACACTAGCAATAAAACTAAGTCTTTGTTTTCACGGGGTTTACATTTGCGGTGAGGGGGTTAGAATAAATACATGTACATGTCAGGTAATGAAAAGCACCAAGAAGAATAACACAAGGAGAGGGAACCTTTAGGTATGGCTGCTTCCAATAATCTCTTTTTCACCTCCATGAACCTTTCCTTAGTCCTCCAAAGAGGAACAAATTATTCACTGGAAACAGTCAAGCTGATTGTGGTGGCCCAAGCCTGTAGTCCCATCACTAGGGAGGCTGAGTAATTAAGTCATAGCTGAAACTTTAAGAAGCCCACAGTCCCAATAAGAAAACATATTTAGTTAACAAACATTTATATAACATTATGTCAAGCATTATACTCAGTGCTTTGCAAAAATTAAGCTTTCACAACAAACATATATATGGAAACTGAAACACAGATAGTAACATTCCTGTGCTCCCACACCAAGTTACTGGCAGGGTCGGGGCATAAGGTCAGTGCTTCTAAACACGATGGTCTTGGTTATGCCACAAAATCATCAAAAAGCAATCTCCCGGCTGGGTGTGGTGGCACACACTTGAAATCCCAGCGCTCAGCAAAGGGGTGGGGGGTATGCTGATGGAGGATCACAGGTCCGAGCCCAGCCTGGGAAACTCAGTACCTTAGCAAAACCCTGTCTCAAAGGTAAAAAGCAAAAACAATCTCCCAAGGCAATAATACAGAAATAAACAAAAAGTTAGAGGTGTTCGTAGGAGTGGGAGCCTAAGACAGCAATAAAACACTTCTTGGAGGAAAAGCATGCTGAATAGGCATGTTGTAAATAGTACACATCTTTTCTAGGCGGGGGCACCGTCTATCCTAGGAGATATCCGCTAGTACACCGGACTTTCCTTGAAGACAGCCTAGTGTATCTCTGAAGATGCTTACCTAGGGGACGGCTACCGTCTAATCTATCTTCATTCCCTGCCAGCACCCAGAACATCAGTGGGTGTTCAACAACTTGTGGAATGCCAATGAACTAGTGTCCATAATTCTGGACAATTCAAACAGGAGATTCTTTGAGGAATAGTAAGCCTCATCACCTGGGCCCCGCCTCCAAGATCCCAAGCTCCCGAACTTCTCCAACTTGGCCACTGTTACCCCAGCAAGCGACCCAGAGAGCGGGTCAAGAAGCAGGACTTCCCATTAGACCCTCGTCCGACGACGACCTTTGCCTGCCTCCCAGTACACATTCGCCCCGCGGAACCGCCCTCGGATTACTACTACCTCCGGGCAAGAGCAGAGAGGCCGAGGCAGCGGCGGCTTGCGTAACTGGAATGAAGGGCACGTTGAAGCTTAGCTCCGTGGCCGAGGAAGAGAAGAGTAAGTTAGTACTCGACAAGGAGGTGGAAGCGACGCCACTGCCACCGTTAGGTTTCCTCTCGGTCATGGCTGCGGGGTACCGTCCGTTACACGTCTACTGGAAGCCGGTGCAGTACCACCGACAGGAAACCAGTCACCTCAGGGCCAGCGCACTTCCGCACTTGCGCACAAGGACCACAACGCCCAGGTGGCAGATCCAGAGCCATCTTTCTCCCTGATCTGTGCTGCCCGAAATCAACATGGCGGAACTGGCTTCACGCCCGAACCTAGCACATGACATCCTCAAACCCTGTGCCGGCCTGGTTTGAGACCAAGGACTGAAGCTGGGGAAAGAACATGGGGGCGGGGCCGCTGCCTTTTCTGGATCCAAGCACAACTTGACGCTCAAAGCCACGGATGAGGGGAGTCAGGGCTTCCTAAATTTAGGGACAGGAGCTTCCTAAAAGTAGGGACAGGGCAGGTTAACTGTCAGATTTTGGAGGTACAACGGAAGCCCTTAAGAGTAGGCAAAGTTAGAAAGGAGAGAGGAAAAAGTGGAGGCAATAGCAGCCAAGGGGGAACCAAATTTACTTATTCTAGCACCTGCATGCCGTTCTGGACAGAAGGGAACTTTTGTCGTTGATCCAGGTATAGAAATAGCAAAATTTTAGAAGTTTGTAAGTCCAGGAGGAGAAAAAAAAATTAAACCAGATTGAAATTGAAGGATGTGACATTTAAACTATCCCGGTGGTGCACGCCTGTAATCCCAGCTACTCTGGAGGCTGAGGCAAGAGGGGTAGCGAGTTCCAGACGAGTCTGGACAGCAAGACGGGGGGGGGGGGCTCAGGACTCAGCACTCCCTAGGTAAATCCGAGTATTCCCCACACCCCCCAAAAATATGGGGCATTTTAAAATCGCTTTGTATATGCCCACAGTTCCACACTAGTCTCTAATTCTGTCCATACGCTGGATTTAATTGACATCTTCCATAATTTAAATTGGAAAGAAAAAATAGCAGCTGTGTGCAGTGGGGAACACCTGTAACGCCACCCATTCCAGAGGCTTAGGTAAGAGAATAGAGAACAGGAGGCCAGCCTAGGCAATTTAACCTGATCTCAAAAACAAAAATAGCATAAGCAGTCTTTCAGCTTCTTGGTGGGACAGAGACCAAAAAGTCTTGAAATAATTAAACAATATCTCTTTGGAGAGAGATTACATCTACATAGAATGAAAGTTTAGGGCTGGGGGTTTAGCTCAGTGGTTCTTCGGCCTGCCTTGCAAACACAAGGTCCTGAGTCCAATCCCTGGTACCAATAAATAAATAAATAAAAGTTGATTAATGAAATAGCTGTTTAGTATATTTGTCAGATTTTAAAAGCCAAGCCATAATTATGGCCCAAACCTTGTGGGCCATAGTTAAACCATTAAGATAGATGTTTACTTACAAGAAATATTGGGGGGGGGATCAAACTAAACCCAATTTTCCTGAAACAAAAGGTTACAGATTTTCTCATCCTGTGACTTAGAAGGCTAGGGCAATCCCAGCACTCTCAGAAAGACTGCAAATTAGAGCCAGCCTGAGCTATATTTGAGAGTTCAAAATCAGCATGATCCATCCATATAGTGAGAAACTTTTTTTTTGGTACTGGGGATCAAACTCTGGACCTTGCGCTTGAGAGGCTGAGCTAAATCCCCAGCCCCATGAGACCTCCCATTTTTTTTTAAGACCCCAATTGGAAAAAAGGAGGAATGTAAAATACAGCATCCACAGTTCCACAGAAATGATTGAATTCTGTGAGACATACATTGAAAATGCTCCTGCCAACAATGGAGAATTTTCATGACTTATGTCCAGGTTGTCTCTGGTCCAGCCCTCTGGAAAATGACTCCTCAACTTCACATTCTTCCTTGGCCCTGGGTTTGTCCTCTGAGAGATTTCTCGTAGGCCATGATCTTCCATGGAGATAACAGAAGAGGCATTGGGAAGTGTGTCCTCTATGGGATCTTTGCAGCAGATTTGCAGCTTGTTCAAGTTTAGCGTCCAAGACTTACATCAATCTTTCAAAAATGTTTATATTTTGCTGTACATAATAATTACATTCATCACGGAGAGTTGGTACATGTACATAATACATCTTAATTTTTCTTGCATCTCCCTTACCTGCCCCCCACCAAGACTTGTACAGTTGCTGACTTTTCAGGCCAGGTTCTTAAAATAATGTGAGATGTATTAATGAAACGTACTTTTTTATACTGTTTGAGATCTCATGAATTTTATATTTACAGCATTTCATTTCCAGCCAGTTCCATGGTCTTGACTTCCTCTTCTGCCCCATTTTATTTTGCTCAGTGTAATGGGGTTAACTCGAGGCTACTTGAACCAGTAGGCCCAAATGGGAGACCTTTGATCTGCTCTTTTGCCACAAGGCTGAATTCTCTGGTTTCCCTGAAAAGTCTCAAAGGACCTTTGTGGCTGGGCATGGTGGCATGTCCCAGCTCTTTAGTGGGCTGAGATGGGAGGATCCAGTGGCTGAGGCTACTCTACACTTACCTCCTATGCATTGAATACTAAATTGATTGACTTTTCCAATACGTTGAAGCCCCAATTTTTCCTGTTCTGTCCAGTCTGGCAGCCATCAACCAACTGTGGCTATTGAGCACTAGAAACGATAACTTTCTGAACTGATAGGTGCTGTAAATATAAAATTCATGAGATTTCAAAGACTCAGTATAAAAAAGTACAATATCTCATTAATATATCACATTATTTTAAAATTAAAATATGCTTGATACGTTGGGTTAAGTATATTATTAAAATTAGGACATGCCTGTAATCCTAGGACTCAGGAGGAAGATCACAAATTCAAGGCTAGCCAGGGCTACATAACTAGACATTTAAAAAAAAAAATTAGGGCTGTAGGTCAGTGTTAAGTGTGCTTACCTAGCATACACAAGGTTCTTGATTCTATCCCCAGTACCACACATGTAAAAACAAAACAAAAAGCTACCATTAAAACATCTGAAGTACTTCTTCAGGTCTTTACTTCCTTTTGAAGGATCCAGTGTCACATAAAACATATATCATGGCTAGGCATGGTGGCACACACCTGTAACCCTAGTTGCTGCAGAGGGTGAGGCAGGAGGATTGCAATTTGGAGGCCAGCCAGAGGCAACTGGGAGAGACTCTTGTCTCCAACATACATGACTGGGGTGTAGCCCAGTGGCAGAGCACCCTTGGGTTTATTTACCAATAATGGGGGGGTTGCTATACTGTGAACTCAGAAAGGAATTTTTCTTCTCCTACACTTGCCACTGCCAAGTTGATACCAAGCTGAAATTTAGATAAAGCAAATCTGAAAACCAGATGTAAGACCCAGTATACTGGGCCAGGGTTGTAGCTGAGTGGTGCTGTGCCTCCTTGGCAAGCACAAAGTCCTGAGTTTGATCCCTGGTACAAGATCCAGCATGCCATTCATTCACAGTGAGAAATCCAAACTACCCATTTCACCCTGAAATAAACCAAAATGTTACCCCAAACATGTCATTTTGGCATAAAGATTACCTTGAGCTGAAAGCAACTGAAAAGATGGAAGAAAAGTTTAACATGTGTTATGTACATGTATCAGCTCCCCATGATGAATATAATCACTACTTACTGCCTACACGATCTAAGAAATAATTTTATATTAATTTTTAAAAAGAGAAAAGATAAATGCTCCCCACACTCCTGCAGTTTGCCTAAAAGCAGGATATAAAATTTCAATAGTGTAGGCTCAGTGGTTCAAAGGTTTAGCTCAGTGGCACCACACCTACCTGGCAAGTGCAAAGTCCTGAGTTCGATCCCTGGTACCATAAAAATCAATCAACCAATCAATTTCAAAGGTATCTCTCCTCACCTCTCTGGAGGAAGGACAAAAGTTTATGAACAGAGACAACTTTAGAACCTTATCAAACCAGAGATTGCAAGAGAATTTGTATAACAAATATACTAACCAAGCTGTGTCTACAATTGGTATCCTGGGCCAGGGATATAGCTCAGAGGTGAAGTGCCTGCCTGGCAAGCACAAAGCCCTCAGTTTGATTCCCTGAATTCAATACCCAGTACCAAAAATAAATAAATAAATAAATAGAATTAGTTCCCCATATTTTTACCTTCCTACAGCTTGCCAGCTTTGAAAGCTGTTACAGATTTTATCGAGATGTGCCCCCAAAGCCTCATGCTGTCATAGCTAGGGATTTTTGGAAGTGGCTGGATCTAGTGTATGCGATGCTGGGATTAAGGATGTGATACTAGGATTAATGGTATAACACTGGTATACAGAGTGCCCCACCTTGACTGTAGGTGGCACCAATCTGCAGGTTTACAGCCTGGATAGACTACAAAGGGGCAGAAAGAAGGCGGCTGCAGCTGCTGCTGCTGTTGCTGCTGCTGCTGTTTTGCTGCTGCTGCTGTTTTGCTGCCTTCTGCCTGCCCTTTCAAACCCTGGACTGTTTCTCCTCTGCAATTCTCCTCTGCCCTGAGACTTTGTTTTGAAACCCACAGACTAGGGACTGAAACCTCTACAACTTTGAGTTAAATCAACCTTTCCTCCCTTGACTTGTGGGTGTCAGATATTTTGTCTCAGCAGTGAGAAAACTAAGATAGAAACCTACTTCTTTCCTTTATCTCATTGTTCCTCTATAAATTTTTTTTGTTTCTGTTACCTGGGATCAAACTCTGGTCCTCGCGCTTGCCAGGCAGATGTGGCACCATTGAGCTACATCCAGGCCCAAATTTATTATTTGCTGAAGATGTTCTATAAGCCTAACTTTCAAGCTACTCAGAGTTGCTGTTCTCTGTGTTTCTGTCATGGACATCCCAGTATGTTCAAATACGTTTGCTTTCCTTTTGTTAACGTCTGCTTTGTTACAAAGGTCCCATTGGAGAACTAAGAAACATAAAGGGAAAGGGTTCCCCATCCCACCCCAGCAAGTTTTGGTGGGAAATCTGGTGCATTTTCTGCAATTCGAGGATGGTAGGCACACATGCTAGGCGAAGGCACTACCGCTGAGCTGCACCCATCCTGCGGGCTTAGTTCTTGCTCTTCATCCTCCCACTTGCCAGATTTTGATCATATCACCCATTTTCCATTCTGATGAGCCTGGGGTCTTCTGAGGTGCAGGTCCAGGGAATACAGTTTCAATACTGAACATGTTCTAAACTTCCTTAGGAAAAGGTTGTTGTAGAGTTGACCTTGCTCATCTTTCCTTCGACTGTATCCAGAACCGTACGGTGCAGGAAAACTTCACTACTGCTACCCAACAGATGCAGCTTTGAAGCAAAAGTAGACCGGGCTGAACAGAGTGTGGTTGTGCACACCAGTAATCCCAGCACTCCGTGAGCCGATCGAAAGTTCAAACTCAGCCTGGGCAACTGAGCAAGACCTTACCTCCAAGTTAAAAGGGCTGGGTTCGATCACCAGTACTGGGAGGCGGGGGAAGACCAGGCTGATTTCCCAGTCCTGACATTGTGGTTTCAGGAAGCGCGCCAGAATTGCCACCTGTCCCCTCAAAAGGAGAGATTATAGGCGCTGGGATTTAGTGAGTGGTTCCGCCGCCTGCCACGCTAAGGGCAAAGTCCCGAGTTCGACCCCCGGTATCAAAAAAGAAAAAAAAGCACTTACACGAGGTGGAGGGATGCTAAATTCTGATTCGCCCACTAATTTTGCCCAGAGCTGAGTCTGAGTTCCCTCTGAGCTCGCACTTTTTAGCTCTTGAGTGAGGAAGGACTCGCAAGAGCTGGACTCTAGGAGTTCCGCCCACGCTCGCGGGGATGACAGAGAGCAACAAGCCGAGCTCACCCTCGCGCGCCGCCCGGCTGCCTTCTTTGCCCGTCTCCAAAATGGCGGCCCC